GGGGCTTCAGTCGTAGACTTGATATTTAGATCATGTGCTAAGCTTTCAATATATTAAATACACCAACTTTGTTAGGCAATGGGAAGTAGTTTAGTCCATGGTCTCAGAGTTCTTTAAAAAGATTCCTGATCTACCCATCACCTGAAGTAAAAATGACTTCTTTGTCAGATTTTTCATGTCATAGTCTGGATAGACGTTTCTTCTTTGTACTTATCTTACTTTCTTTTATTTAAAACTAAGTTATTTCTGCACTTGCCTGTCTCCCCATTATACTGTAAATTGCTTGACAGCAGGGCCTGTTACACACACACACACACACACACACACACACACGTGTGTGTATGTGTGCATATGTATATATCAGATTATATCTTTATACACCTTCTCTTTGTAATTCTGGCAAACACACATATGTGTATAAACATATGTGTTGGTACACACACTCCACATGTGGGCATATGTACATGTATGCATATATGTGCAAGGAAATGAATGTATGAAATACATACATTTGTATTGCCAGTATCATAAAGAGAAAGTGTTAAGTATTTTTTATCTTTTGAGAAGAGACTTTTGAGCATTATTACACATGTATCAGTACTTCAAAGATCTGTAATTTCATTCATATGAGAAATCCTTATGGGGATCAGATTATATCTCCTCTACACTTTAGCATGCAGTTTTTGAAAGTTGATCTGGTAAAAAAACAACCTGTCAGTCTATTAATCTGTTGACGAAGCCCCTGCAAATGTAACTAGGCTTGTCCTTATAGATCACTGTTGGACCTTACTCAGGGACTTTCTAGCTTGGTAAAACCTGCCAGAGTTTTCATACTAACTAACATGGCCTTCGAAAACACAGGCGTACATCTACACTCTAGTCCTTAGAACTGGCTTTGCATGGAGGTGGCTGTAGGTTCTTAAAATGAAAGAAGGAAAAGATGGGCTTCAGTTAGAGGGTTGAACATCCAGTCTGTCTTTAATGTGAATGTTAAAAGTTTTAATATCTAAGATAATGATCTAAAGTTGTTTCCCATTTTCTAATACTCAGATTTTCTTTATTATTGAAGGACATTGTTTCTATGTACTTTTATACACATACATATAGATAGATAGATAGATAGATAGATAGATAGATAGATGATAGATAGATAGATAGATAGATAGATAGATAGATAGATAGATAGATACACACACACACACACACACACATATATATATATATATATATATATATATATATATATATATCCACATGTTTGTATTGGGACACTGGGTGTGTACAGCTATAAAGAATTCCCCTCCTTCCAACATAAACACATATGCTAAGTAAGCCAGCTATAATTTATGCAAATACATAATGACGTGTACTTAAACCCACCAAAGCCACAATAAAAGTTTGTAAAGCTACTGTTAGCATTGCTCTGAACCAAAATCAATGAACAAAAATACAAAACATAGATAAGCTCCATAGGGTCTTTTCCTAAGTAAGAAAGAGGCTTTATAACCTTGCACAACTGAAAGAATATAAAAGTTGGTAAAACTTCAGAGTTCATCTATTTCAAGCCCTGCCTGAATCATGAATGCTCTCTACAACGTTCCTGCTAAGTGGTAATCCAGCCTTTGTGTGATGACCTATGGTGAAAGGACACAAATTACCTCTCAGGATGGCCTAATTCACTTTTAGATAGTTATAGCAGGAAACTTTTCCTCCCATTATTATTATATTTTTTAAATTTTTATTACTAAAAATCAAGTATACAATAAGAAAAGAAAATGAAACATATAAACAAATACAAAAGAAGAAAAGAAGAAAAAGCGTGTCATGTACACAGCAGAACATAAGAGAGCAATCAAAATATATAGCAATAAATTTCCATTTCAAGAAAGTCTATATAATAAATACTATGCATTGTGTTGAGAGCTGTCCATCTTTTCTTTACTTCCTTGTAAGTTTTCTTTTGTTCTCTGCTGTATACTTTTTACTTTGCTTTTTTTCCCACTTCCTCCCCCACAGATATATTGATATATTTATATTTATACATATAGATACATACATACACATATATACATGTACATACATAGACATGCATACACACATAGACATATACTTTCCCTAACAAATTCTACTTCTAATCTTTGTTTTTATACTTGTGCATATCTCTTATTTCCTATTCCTCCTAACTTCTACCCACTACCTTCCCTCCTATTGCTTAACCTATCCTCCCTTCAAGGAAACCTCCCTTATCCTACCATTCCCATTAATCTAAATACCCTTCTATATCCCACCCCTTAACCTATTACTCACCCTCCACTTTAGAGATCCCTCCCTTATCTGCTCCCTGGTCCATCCCCTTGGCATTTTATTTCTTTCTAAATTTCAAAGACTTTTATACTCTTCTAGGTGTATATGCATGATGCATATGATGAAAGTAGGTTTCTAGAACTAAAAGCCCTCCTCCCTCATCTAATTCCTCTGAGTCAGTTCTTCCTCTGGCACCTCATTTGTATAAGATAATTAGTCTTTTTAGCTGTTCCTAAATGGTTTTGCTTTTTAAAGTCATATCATACTCAGGTCTATCCCAATCTTTCGTATGATCTACCCAATCACTACAATCTTAGACATAAGTTTTACTTCTTACATGCATAAAAGGTAAACAGTCTGTCTTTATTGAGTCCCTTGTAATTAGTCTTTGGTATGTGCCTTATATTTCTCTTGGATCCTTCTTATATGTCAAATCTTCTATTAAGTTCAATTTTTTAACAAAGTCCTAAAAGTCTGACAGTTTGTTAAATGTCCACTTTTTTTCATTCAGTATTATACTTAGCTTTGCTGGGTGTGATATTTGCAGCCATAACTCCAATTCTTTTGCTCTTTGGTATATAGTGTTCCAAGACCTGCAATCTTTTAGTGTTGCCTCTCCTAGGTCTTATGTGATTCTAATTGTGGCTTCACCATATTTAAATTGTATTTTTTTTCTTGTTGCTCATAATGTTTTATCCTTGAGCTAGGTTTTTTGGAATTTGACTATGATATTCCTGTGAATTTTCCTCACTGTGACTCAAAATTACCACCCTGAGACTATCTGACTCCATCATTCTTTTAGTAGTTGGGCAGTTAATTATTATTCTCCCAATTACAAGGCTGACCCCTTTCAGTTCCATGGCCATCATACCCTTCTACCTTCTCCTTACACAAGATACTCCTTACACAGATAACTCTGTTTACTTTTACTGGCTGTTTGTCTATACTTGAAACTCTATCCTCATTTTCATCTTGTGGATTCCCTGGATGTTTTCAGGTCCCAGCTAATTTCCCATCTTCTATGGAAAAAAAGTCTTTCCTGATTTTCCTTCATGCTAATATCTTCTCTCTGTGATTATCTCCAATCTAGCAAATATATATCTTATTTGTATCTTACCGTTGTTTGCGTGTGTTATCCCCATGTGTGCTTCTTGAGAGTAAGGACTTTTGCCTTTCTTTGTGTCCCCAACACTTAGCACAATGCTTGGCATACAATTGGCACTTAATAAATGCTTGTTGACTTGATTCCCAGAGCTCGTCTGGGAGAGAGTGTTCACAATTTGACACCTGGTTTGTGGACCTTCACTACATAGAATATTCAGGATCAGCAAAAGAATCACTAGCAAAGCCAGTACCTACTAGCCACCTTGACTCCATAGTCAAACTTAGCCCTAGCCCTCTCCAACCTTTATTGTCTTCTGACTTGTCTTTTTCATTGTGCTTTCTGAAAACCTTCTCCACTATAAATAAACTCTTCATGCTAGATCTCTTCCTCACACATTCCTTCCATTTGCTGCTGCTCATTGAAACCTAGCTATTTTTTTTTCTTCCTGAAGATCAAGGCTTTTGGCATTCACTTCAACTCTGGCTGCCTCTCCACTCACATGTTCAGGGATAAAAAAAGAAAGAAAAAAAAAGATTTGGTATCCTCTTTGCTGACCATTACCACTTTTAGAACTACCTTCTTCTGGGGCAGCTAGGTGGCACAATGGATAGAGCACCAGCCCTGAAGTCAGGAGGTCCTGAATTCAAATCTGGCCTCAGACCAAACACTTGACACTAGCTGTGTGACCCTGGGCAAGTCACTTAATCCCAATTACCTAAAAACTTGAAGAAAAAAAAAAGGAACTTCCTTCTTCCACTATCATCAACCAACCACTTTTATAATGTTCACTCTATTGTGTCCAGATGTTTATTGGTTTCCATCTACTTTCTTTTTTGTTTGTATATGTTTGTGAGGCAATTAGGATTAAGTGACTTGCCTAGGGTCACACAGCTAGTAAGTCTCATGAGGTAGGATTTGAACTCAGGTTCTCCTGACTCCAGAGCCAGTGTCTATCTACTACTCCACCTAGTTGCCCCTCCATCTGCTTTCCACTGATCTCCAAGTCTCTTCTTTCCCTACAAAAGCTAGTACCTAGCTCACAGGATGTTTCTCCACCCTTATCCTTACCTGCCCTCCCAGTTCATCTGCCCCTTAACAAGTACACCTTAGACACCACACCCACTTACATCCACACACCTATACATATTCAACTGAATTGCCTTAGTTGCTGGAATTCCTAGTTGAAGCTTTATTTTGAGGTGGGGGAAAAGGAGGCCCTCAGAGAGTGAAAAGGTGCATAAAAGGGAGGTTGAAGGCACAGGAAGAGGAAGAGGAAGGGAACAAGAAAAAAGAAGAAAACAGAGGGGAATAGGAAAGGGAAAGAGAAGGGGAAATAGAATGGTAAAAAAGTAAAGATAAAGTTAAACCTTGAGGTCACAGATAAAATTCTACCCTCACCCACACATATACATACCCATTAATTTTATTCTTATGTACCCCATTATTTCTTGGACCTCATTTGTATTCATAGGCAAAATGAAAGCTATTATATGCCCTCTTTTCCTATGCCAAATATGGGCTCATATTCTATTAGTTGATTTTTAAAAACCCTAAAAAAACCCCCAGCAACTGAAAGGAAACAGATCTGAGCTCTTGAGAGATTTTTAATTTGTCTGAAGCATTTTCATAAAAGATCCTCTAAATATGATTACCCTTTCTAGTTTCTAATATGAATTACATTTGAAAGTCAGTTGGCATAGGTACAGTGCAGCTCATGAGATTAATAATGTTCTTTCTTACATTGAAGAGTGTGGAGAAGACCCTTTCCTGAGGATAAAAGAAGAGCGTCACATCTTTGTAAGGATTTGCCTTCTGTTCTCTCATAGGCTCTACTGTAGAATGACTCCTAGTAAGAGAAGAAATAGAGACAGTTATCTAGGTGGAATTTGCCCCCTGCTTCATCTATAGCTGAACCTTTTCCACCCAATTGAATGAGAAGATAGTACAGCACCAGTCAAAAAGGGTGGGAATGAATTTAAAGGAGAGAAGGAAGGAAAAAGAAGAAGAGAAAAGGAGGAATGAAAGAGCTTTAGGAAAAGAGTCTGTGGTTCCTTAATCTATAATAACCATAAAAGGGATTAAAGAAGAAGGTCATCTTTCTAGAAAGAAGAGAAGGGAATAAGGGGGGCAAATTGAGGAGAACATTATGCTTTCACATTTGTATTGGAGAGTGAATAGATAATGGAAGGATCAGAGATGCTGTCTAGTTTCTCTGCTGCACCTTTGGTATGGAAACTCCCTCCACAGACTTAAATTAACAACAAAGTAGAAGCTTATAATAACTTATAAGTAAATGGCTGAAAAGGCCACTGAAACTACACTGGGATAGGGTTGGAAGGAGAGTTAGAAACATGTATGTACATGTATGTGTATATGTATATGCATCATATACATGTATATGAACTTTAAGCAAAGATATGATTAAAATATTAGGGTATCAGTCATTATCAGTCATTCAGAGTGCTGTGCTCAAATTTGGAATGAATTGGAATCAGAGGACCTGGGTTCAAATCCTGTCTGAATTTAGGCAGGATAGTTAACTTCTCTGGGCCTTAATTTCATCATCTATAAAATAGATTAGATAAATTCCAAGGTTCCTTTCAGGTCAGAATTCTATGAAACTCTAGGCAGATACCACAGGATGAAAGTAATTAATTTTTCTTTGTGTCAAAGCTTATTTGCTTCTGGAAGAAATGATGTAAAGAATGAAAATGAAAAAGTTTGTCCAACTTAGGAAAAATGTTGAAGTTTATGAAGCTTGTCAATACTCTTTTCCTCCCTTATGAATGGAAAAGAGGAAGGGGTATGGGAAGGTGGTGGGGGGAGGGGTATAGGAGTCCCCGACTCTCTCACCCCCCAGGGAGTTTGCTTTATCTTTCTTCCTCACCCCACCCTCCAAAAAACCTGCTTGCAAATCTTTCATTTATACTAAGCTGTGAATGATTAATAATCAAATATTCTACCTTCAAAGATATTTTCATTTTAGTAGAGATAAATAACTGAGACTGAAAGGATTGAGCCTCTCCCCTCCCCACACCCCTGTTATGACGGGCCTCAACCAGCTGATGAGAAAAGAATTTAGGAGGAAGAGAAGCCTGAAAAGGACCTCAAATTATTCTGCACAGGTCACCACTGCCCACCTCTTCTACATATGGGGCAGCCTTGCAGAGGTTGATAACCCACCTAAACATTTTTAGTGCCTGGGTTTGGCACACTTGGTACATCCAAACATCCCCATGAGGAGAATTTGTTCTCATTCTGGTCGTGCAGTCCAGCCCAATTTTCAGACCTTAGATCTGTATGGGGGTCTTTTCTCCTGTTCCCTCCCTCCCTCCCTCTTCCGTCTTTCCCACCCTCCCTGCCTCTCCACATCTGCTCTCTTGTGCTTAGATGTACAGGTGCTTCTTCTTTCACTCTGGTTATTGCTTTCTGCCTTCTTTTGCTCTCACAGGCTTAGCTCGAGTGACAGCTGAACTTTCCTCCGCAACCAAACAGACCTCGTCAATGATCATTTCCGATTTTCTTTTCCATTCTGGTGGCAGAGAGACCCCAGGGCATCAGAATGTTCAGATCTGCCAAGGGCACATAAACTAAAGTGAGCAGACTGCCTCTCTGAGCCAGTGATGAGAATATGAATGGGTCTGGTGAGAAGGGGACTGCCCAAGCTTTCACTCTCCCCTTTCATTGTTGGAGGCCTCTTTTCTTCTCCCTCTTGGAGACTGTCGCTTGTACTATTCCGGTCTATTCTTCAGACCCTTCTCCCATCCTTCTCTTATCCTTCTCTCATGGGCGCCAATTCTTGTTGCTGGGGTAGCCAGCTGGTGGCAAGGATGAAGAGCTTCACCAAAACTAGTTACTCTGAGGAACTGATATATGACAGGCATCTTTCCAAGTCCACCTTGCCAAATCAGACAGATAGGAATCTTGCACCACCGTTTCCCTGGTTAGACAGAGAACTCTGTCTAACTCATATGATCACAGATTTAGAGGTAGACAGGACCTCAACGACCATGTAGAAACAACCCCTGCTTTTTGGAGAAGAAGAAACTCAGGGCCAGAGATATGAAGTGACCTTCCCAAGGTCACACAGGTAGGAAATAGCAGAAATGGAATTTGAACCTGCTTGAATCCAAAATCAGACTTCTTTCCCCTATTTAAGGGTTTTGTGAGTACCTACAGAATGACCTGGACTTAACCTCAGACTGCTCCTTACATCTCCACCTCTACCCCCCTGAATGATACCATTTGTCTTCTTTTCTAATGACATGTCAACAGAGTAAAGATTTCACCAAATGATAATCAATCAGAAAATGATCCCAGGAAAATCTCTTTTTAACTCCAGAGACCCAAAATTTTGGAGGCAAAAAATCAGAAAGGAAAGAAGTAGTTTTGACTTTATCACACATCTGTATTTGTTTGGGAAGATTGTGTGTGTGTGTGTGTGTGTGTGTGTGTGTGTGTGTGTGTGTGTGTGTGTGTTTTGGGGTTTGGGTTTTTTTTGGTCACTGGATACATGTAGCTGAACAGTGATATGGCATGTTCTGGGAACAAATAAAAAATAAAGAGTTCCCAGCCACTACCTCAGCATCTTTTGTCCCAGGGAGATTTACTAGCAATATTTCTTCTCTTTCCTCTCATAGCATGTCTCTATTCCTAAACTTGGGAAATTTTTGACGGAGTTGACATATGACTGAGGAACTTGTTAAAGCCTGTTTCATAACTTTTCCCCCATAATTGCTGTTCTTTTCTCCCAGGTTATCATTCCTCCCCTCCAACCAGTAAGTTACACATTAAATAAACAACCAGAGAGTGAGTGATCCCTTCTTTCCCTGCCAAGAGAGAGAGAGAGAGAGAGAGAGAGAGAGAGAGAGAGAGAGAGAGAGAGAGAGGGAGTGAATGAGTATCTGAGAAAAAGTTAGCGGGTGTCGAACCTGGAAGAATTTCATTAAAAAAACAAAACAAGAGAAAGCCTTCTGGCCCTTTATCCTATATTATCTTCTAGAAAGTCAGGCCTCATCATGTTATATGAGATAGGATTACACAACAAATCCTGGTCTACCTGACCCAACCCCTTCTATGTTAGAAATTCAAACAAGAAGCCTCTTTGAGATCAGATAATTCTCTTTCACCTAAGTTTCAAATCCAAGTCCAGCAAAAGTTCAGAACAATAGACATGACAGAAGATGATGAAGGAACTCCAAATCCATGAGTTGGTAACTGCGGCATTCTTGGTTCTTAAGCTTTTGGCTGATCTTGGGGTTTCAGAAGCAGGGTAGAAAGTTGCTGTCCACTCTCATTTTAGGGTTTCTCACATAGGTATAAATTCTAGTCTGTATTGGCGGTGGGAATTTTAGCTGGAGTAGGAAAGGGTCACAGGAATGCCTAGCTTCTGAATCTCTCACCACTACATTCCACCAATTAGAAATTCTTTTGCAATAACCCACTTGAGAATCCTCTTTTCAAATGAGAATCCTCCATATCCTTCAGTCCCACAGCTGTCAGAGCCTACTAGTAATTCACACTTTAGAGTCTGAGCAGATCAGTAGACTGCTTTCCTCCTGGCAGGTTTACTGAACTGAGGCATTAGAAGTTTTGATGGGGGGAGATAGAGAAAAATTTCAGAGTATGGGGAACTTCAGGGAAAACAGAAATAGGTGAGAACAGTGGGGAGAAGTTTTGGACAGTACATGGCAACATGAGGCTGTTAGGCATTTGAAAGACAGAAGTAAAGGGATTCTAGTAGTTGGAAGAGGGGTGTGGAAAGTGGGAAGGGACCCAAGAGACCAAGTCCACTTATTTTATGGATGAGGAAACTGAGGTCCAAGGAAATAAAGTGACTTTTTTAGGGTCACAAAGATAATAAGAAGGCAAAGATTTGAACTCAGGTTCTTTGATTATAAATCTAGTGGTTGTTTGTGTTTTTGTTTTGTTTTGTTTTCCTGTACTAGCCTGTTTTTAAAGATGGAAAGACACCAAAGTTGACTTCACCTCATCTGAAATTTTGCCAGCAACCTCTGTACACACAGATGTGTAAAATAATTGATTGATAGGGCTTTCATCTTTTCCTTAACTCCATCTATGTGTCCAACAAAAATGGAAATATCAGTCTCAAGGACTGCCAATTCTTTCCCTTTAGTGTCTAGGACCAGTTATAAATGAAACTCTTGCCTTAGCATCCACTGAACCTACTATGGATTAGTGTGCCACTATGCAGCAGCCATAATTATCCCCTGACATACTTCTGGACCAAGAACCTGATGGTGTCAGTAACTCTAGGCTACCTTATCCTGTTTGCTGCCTACTGAGAAGCAAATATGGTAGAGTAGGAGAATCACTAAACTTGGAATTCAGGATTCAAGCCTAGGTTTGAACCCCCTCTCTAACACTTCTTAGCTATGTGACCATGGAGTGGTTGCTTAAAATTTCAGAACCTCAGTTTCCTTATCTGTCAAGAAGGGGATAATACTGGTAGAACCTGTCTCACAAGACTGCTGCAAGGCTCAGTGCCTTGTAAACCATAAAATACAGGTTATTACTATCATCATGCCCAATTCCTCAGTCCTGTGTTATGATTCTAATAGCTAGCTATAATAATAATAGCCAGCATTTATATATCACTTTAAGGTTTGCAAAGTATTTTATACACATGATGTCATTCTCACAAGCAACCTTGTTTGGCATATGCCATTATTATTCCCATTTCACAGATAAGAAAATTGAGATTGAAAAAGTGCCCTAACTGGTCCAGCCTCACATGAGTAGTAAATGTCTAAGGCAAGCTTTAAATTTGGTTCTTCCTGGCTCCAAATCTGAGGAATTATCTATTCCATTATTTAGATAGAGGTC